CCAGTTTGGGCTACAAAGTGAGTTCAAAGTCAGCCTGAACTACATAGTGAGAACCTATCTCAAAGAACTAAAACTAACTAACTAACTAAATAAATAATCTGATATCCAAACTGAGAGTGGTAGCACATACCTATAATCTCCGCATCCTGACAGGCTGAGACTGGATGATCACAAGATCACATGTTTGAGCCCAGCCTGTGCGACAGAGAGCTCTGAATCAAAATAAAAAATAGCCAGGCATGGTGGCACATGCCTGTAACCTCAGCACTGAGGAGGCCAAGGAAGGAGGATCATCACAAATCTGAGGCTAGCCTGGGCTACATAGTTCAAAGTCAGCCTAAACTACATAGCAAGACCTTTTGGTTTTCTCAGAAAACCAAAACTAAAAAAATGAAAAAATAAAGACCTGGAGGTATAGCTCAATGCAAAGGTCCTGGGCTCATTCCCCAGTATCAAAAGGGGTGGGGTGGAGGGAAGGAAAAAGAAAATCTGATATTCAGCCAGGCATGGTCATACACACATAAGATGCCAGCACATTGCAAGGTTGTGGCAGGAGGGTCACAAGTTCGAGCCCAGCCGGGGCAACTAAGCTACTCATGGAGACCCTGTCTCAACAATAAAAAATAAAAGGACTGGAAATTTAGCTCACTCCAAAAGCTCTGAGTTCAATCCCCATTCTTAAAACAAAACAAAACAAACAAAAACCCCCTAATTTTCCAATCTGACATTTATGCAGTATGCCTCTGATTACTTCAAAAATTGAATTAGAATAGAAAGTAACAACATAAAAAATCTACAGGGACAGGGATATAGCCTGGGGGGAATGCTTGCCTAACATACACCAGGCTCAATCCCTAGCACTGCCAAAAAAAATTTTTTTTTTAAATTGCACTACTGTACAATTTTCTACAGTACACGTTTGTTTGGAGACAGGGCCTCATTATGTTGTCCAGGCTAGCCTTATATGTAGCCCACACTGGCCTTGAACTCAGAATCCTCCTGCTTCAGCTTCTCCAGTTGTGAGATTCAGGGGATTTGCAGGAGCTCCCCATGCCTAGTTTCTATTACTCTTTTCATGATGCCAAAGGCAGTGAAGTACCTGACATTTTCACAATCCAATAAAATTCTCTGGAGGAAAACTTCACTTGGTTTCAACACACTCCCCCAAACTGATACTATCACCTGGGAAATTGGACCAAAAAAAAAAGAAGTCCCAACCAAATTCTCTTACCCATTGGTTTTAATATACACTACTCTATCCCTCTGAGGTAATGAATTCAGGCTTTTTTTTAAAGTTAGGTGGCAGACATTCAACTTTATTCCTAAATGTATCAATTTAGTCTCATTTACCCTCTTAAGAATTAACTAAGCTATCCAGGCATGGTGATGCACTTGTGCGATCCCAGCACTTGGGAGGCTGAGGCAGGAAGGCTGCCTCGAGTCTGACACCAGCCTAAAACTACATAGGGAGACCCTGTCTCAAAAACAAACAAAAAAGAATTAATTAAACTATGTAAATACATACACTTAATAATATTCACTCATTGTAACGTACTTAAAAAGGCAAATAAATCTTTAAATAGGATCAATGATTTTAAAAATGATGCTACAGTTCTAAAACTACAACATCTCTAATTTAAATGCATTTAGTATTAAGTCTGTAGACACGGAGTGTAAACTTGAATGACTGGATCCTTGGCACTGAGTAACACTGACAGATTATATTGCCACAAACTACCAAATAGGCCAGCACATTGTTACAATACTTTATGTACTTTATTTTGTGTAGAGAAGAAAAAAGTGTCAGAGATTAAGCAATTTACTCTAGGTCACAGAGTCAGTGAGTATGGTCAAAGGGATGTGAACTTACTTTTGACATACTACAAAGAGACAAGGCACAAAATCTGCAAGACTAATAAATGCTATCAAGAACCTGTACAGTAGTGTTGGTGGCATAGTGGTGAGCACAGCTGCCTTCCACAAATCTGTGCAATAAAGCTGGGCATGGTGGCACACTGCTATAATCCTAGCACTCAGGAGGCTGAGGCAGGAGGATCGTTGTGAGTTCGAGGCTAGCCCTGGCTACAAAGAGAGCTCAAGGTCAGCCTGAACTGCATAGAGAGACCCTGTCTTAAAAAGAAAAAAAAAGTTTTTATAATAAATTAAATTATAAATTCAGAGTAGGAAACATTAGTAGATTTTCTAAAGAATCTAAACTTCCCATATTTCAGACTTTTAATAAGAATTCTACTATTTACTATTACTCTCAGAATAATCTGGATGTCACTCACTCTCCTGGGGTTGCCAGTTAAATCTCACTCCTATTTTTTCCTTTGTCCACCTTGAGGCACCTCTTAAGAATAAGACACTCAAGCTGGGCATGGTGGCGCATGCCTGTAACCCCAGCACTTGGGAGGGTGAGGCAGGAGGATCATTTTGAGTTTGAGGCCAGCCTGGGTTACAAAGTGAGCTCAAAGCCAGCCTGAACTACATAGAGAGACCCTGCCTCAAAAAGACAGAAAAGATAAATTAATTAAAAAGAAAAAAAGAAAGTAAGAAACATTTTCACTGGAGATGGTAGTGCATGCCTGTTATCTCAGCTACTAGGGAGGCTGAAGCAGGAGGATCACAAGTTCTAAGCCAATCTGGGCAATTTAGCAAGGCCAGTCACAAAATTACATAAAAACAGCTAGACTGTAGCTCAGTAGTACAGTATCTCTGGATTCAATCCCCAGTACTGCAAAAACAAGCCAAAAACCATTTTCAACTACAAAAACCTTGTCAAATGAGGTATTTTACGGAAGGTTCTTCCTCAAGATCCTTTTTAATTACCTCCGTTCTTTCTCCAAAGTTTCCCTCCCTAATAAGTGGCCACATTTCTTTCTCTTTCCATTTTTTTCTGGTCCCCTCCTCCATACCCTCTCAGAATCTACTTGCTGTACCTAGCAAAACAAAAGCACAGGAGTAGGCCAAAACTGGAACATACACTGTTGCTGAAACATATTAAGAAACTGCAAAGAAAAATGAGGTCCTGGTTTACAATAGGAATCTTAATACGATGTTATGCTTTCAAAGGAGGATAAGCCAGTAGTCTGGGAATTCTATTAGTTGAACTAATGAAAATATAACGCATCCTTCCTGTCCAGTTTTTTCTTTTGCCCTATTTCAAAGTCACTGTCCTATGGAACCAATGTAACTGACCGGAGTATGGGACACACAGGGAAAGTAATCCTGCATTCGTTTCAAACTGTATTTAATGTTCACTATGTTCAATTAAGAGGCTAACTGAAATTCCATTAGAATATATATCAATTTAAAAAACACGTATCTCAATACTCACTTTCTAGACTGTGATTTTAATTGAGACTTGATTACGAAAAGAACAGTATTATTTTAGCTCACTTAGTCTCACAAAGTGTTCAGAGTTCTTTATAGTTAGCATCTCAGTCTTTTATCAGCAATAGGACATGATTTACTTGCCAGAAAAGAAAAACTGGGGATGAGAAACAAAAAAGAAAAGGCCCTATGCAGTTACAAAACATCAGACATCGGTCATAGATTCATATACCCTTAAGATAACGAGATTTAGGACCTAAATTACCATGAAGTAATCACTGATGATCATTCGTCCACAGGGAGTTTGACAACATCATTTTTGTACTTCAGGTACAATTTGTGATTTTTCAATAAATTTGTCTCAGAAAAAAAATATTCCATAAAAAGCGACCAAACAGTGAGACAGCAAAGGTAAAAAACCAAGACGTCCACGAGGAGAAACAAGTCTAAATTTAGCACCCTAAAATACAGCAAGGAAAGCCCTCGCAGCACTATTCACAAGTTTCAGTTCAAGCAATTTATTTTTGGCAAGCCAAATCACAGCTGTCAACACTAGTTTTCTCTCCACCCCAAAATCACATAAATTATTCTGAAAAAATAGAGACATCTTCAACTTGAGGAAAAATTAAATTACAAATGACGTGTGTCGTTATAATTTAAAAAAAAAAATCACACGGAAGGGTTTTTTTAAAAAAAAAAAAAAAAAAAGGCAAACGAACCCTGAAGATGCAGCAGAGCCCCCTTGCTCCCGAAATACAACTCCCGGCGGCTGCAACAGCAGCGGCAGCGCTACTCCCGACAGAAGTTTTCAGCTGTCACTTCTAACAGCTGAGCGCTTCCGAGGAGAGAAGCGACAGGCCGAGAAGAGAGGCGGCCGCGGGAGGTCCGAAGACTTAAGACCTGCGATCTTCCCATCCGAGGGAAAGCCTTCCACATTTCACCTGCGCTTACGGGACGCCGAGCAGCCTCCCCCACCCGCAGCGCACGCTCGCCCCGCCCGCGCCCCGCCACACTCAGCTCAAACCGCGTCGGAAACCGACCCCGCGTCCATTCCGGTCTCTGCAAACAGGTGCTCGGGCCGCGCTGCTCCGGGGATAAGGGCGCGCCCCGCACCTGCGAGCCCCGCAGAGGCCTCACACCTAGCGCCAGGTCCGCCCCGCCCGCTCCCTGGCTCTCGGCAGCACGGCACCTCAGCTCCTCCGGAAGGCTGACTCGCGCCCCGCCGGGGCTCCGAGCTCTAGGACACGCCAGGCTTCCCGGCCGCCGCCGCCGCCCCGACCCTGTCACCTCGGGGGCCCCCCTCCGGACCCCGGGCCTCACCCCCTCCTCCAGCTCATCCTCAGAGCCTGCGTCCTCTGGCTGGTCCAGGTCTATGTCAAACACTCCTGCCATGTCCTCAGCTTCCCTGTCTCGGAAGTCAGGCGCTGGGTAAAAGCCGTCCCGCCTCCGTCGTCGCCTCATGGGCCCGGACCCGCCGCAGACACCGTCGCTACTGCCGCCATCACCGGCTGCTTGAGCTCAGTGCGTCTGCGCCTAGGCCCTAGACTGGCTCTTCAAGTTCAGCATTGGAGCATGCGTAAAGGGCTCCGTGAAGCCTAACTGTGGGCAATGGACATGCGTAGATCTAGCTCCACAGTGCCGATACTGGCAGAGACATGCGCATAAAACCAGCAGAAGCCGCTCGTAGAGCCTGAAGCATGCGCATTGTCTGCGAGCGCTTTTGGTGGACCGAGCATGCGTCCCATATCCAAAGTTGATAAATTGGAATTGAACATGCGTGATTGACCTTTCGAATTAAAAAAAAAAAAAAAAAAAAAGCAAAATTCTTGAAGTAAAGGAACATGCGCATTCGCTCTCAGTGGTTTTTTTTAGTATTGAAAGTGAGCATGCGCATAGTAAGAAGGTTGGATTTGTGAAGTTTGAATCCGACAGAAACCGCGGGGCCGAGGGTTGTAGGTGAGTGGGTTTAGTGAGGTCCTTCTAAAGGGCCGGTTCTCACCGAGGAACGGTCTTGGTCTTACTTGTTAGCCTGGAGAAATCAACCTTTCAGAGCCCCCGTTTCCTTGTTTGTAAAATGAGGACAATGTTACTTTGCCGGTTTGAAAATACTGTACAAGTAACGGAAATGAGTGTTGCATGACCCTCCTGTGCGGTCTTTATCAGAAATTGTCTCTTTGCTGTTAAAAGTGCGATCTGCCTTACTGTATCACTGGTCTTTCTCCAGGTTCCATGTTGGCTGTATTACCTGAACTAAACACAAAATCTTTTTGGAAGTCTTAATTATAGTTATCTGGGCAGAAAGGCGGTTGGTAGAAAGACTGTGTTATTATTTTGAAGAGAGAAAATTAATGTTAATTGAATGTTTGTTGCGCTGATTCTGATGAAGTGTGTACTAATTACTTCAGTCAGCATTTATTTTGTTTTGCTTTGTTTTGTTTTAAATGCATACTTAGGAAAATAGTGAATATAAATCATGTTTCCTGTTGAGCTGTGTATGAGTGGATTTTCACACAGCAAATCCAAGATCCCAGAACTGTGGAAAAGCAAGAGAAGAACGTCCTCGAATGACTGGCTCCTTAAACAACAGCGCTGTTTCATCGATCTTATCATATACATACATGGCATTTTAAAGTTACTTTTTACTCATGTATAATTAATATATACGGCATCTTTTTGTCCTCGCTCGTAATGTGGCGGTTCTCAAAGTCTGCGTTTTTTTCTCGTGCAGGTTGTTCCCTTTCTGAAGGAACAGGCCTAATGTGTGGCTCAGCATGGCAGTCGTAACAGTGCAGCTTGGTCAGTGTGGCAACCAGATTGGCTTTGAGGTGTTTGACGCTTTATTTACCGATTCACAGTGTTCCCAGGGATTCTGCTCTAAGAGAGAGAATGAGGCGTATCAAGCATCTTGCACAGAAAGATTCTTCCGGGAGGAAAACGGAGGTATGTGTGATCCACAGGTCTTTACTCCAACATAAACTCTTCAAGGCCTGACCTTGTATAAGTGTCTGAACCCCATCCCTTCCCATCTCTCTAGGGAATGACTTTGCACTTGGCGCTGTTTCTGTGTTAACAACCTTTGCTTTTCTAGAGGCATCTTTCCCCCAGCACATAAGCATGCTTGGATCTCACCAACCAAGCACATGGACTGGGATGTAGCTGAGTGTACAACGCACGCCCAGTAGGCATGAGGCCATGGGTTTGGGTCCCAGCACCATAAAATAAATAAATAAATAAATAAACTAACTGTAGTGGATTGAGAGCTGGTGGTCAACTTATAACTCCCAGCTGAACTGATTAAGTGTGGTGCTGGGTGTGGGAGGCCCCCCTGGGGATTGTTGCCGGCAGCATAAGAGGCAGAACTGGAGGAGAAGTGAGGCTGTTGGGAGCACAGAAAGGCTGTTGGGAGCTGGTAGAAGCTGTAAGGAGCTGTTGTTTCTGTTGGAGAAGCTTGTCCTGCTGGCTTTCCTGATGAACTCTGCTGTTTTCATGCTCCAAGGAGCTTGGGACCTTGTTGGCACTGAGAATAGCTTCGGTTCACTTTGGGGGAGCTCTGGTCCTCACTCTGAGCATTACTTCCTGGCTCCAGAGGGGAAGAAGGTGCACGGCTCAGGCTCCTGAAGAAGCTTGCTGCATTGGCTTTCCCAGTGGGAACTCAGCTGTCTTCACCATTGGAAGAGCTCGGGACCTCACTGTCGCTGAGGATAGCTCTGATACCTTCCAGGGGAGCTCTGGTTCTTATTTTGAGCATTGCTTCCTGGCTTCAGTGCAGATCCCTCAGCCTACTAGTACAGATTCTTCATCCCACTGGCAGAGACTTCCTAGAGTCCACCACTGATCTTTGAGACTTGCCAGCGCAGATCCGTGAAACAGGCCTGCATGAGATATTGTTATGGGCTCTGGGCCTCCAGTTGGATTTGTGGGAGGCACTGTTATGTGCTGTAGGTCTTCAGCTGGACTCATGCAGGACATTTCCATGGGATCCAGGCCCTCAGCTAGTTTCCTTGTCTTAGTGTGTGGATAGATTTCCTGTACTCTTTTGTATATATCATTCTTTGGATGACTGTTATAAACAATCTTATAAAATATGTGTCCTGTATTATATATTGTTTTCTCTTGCAAAAATATCCCCCAAACCAACATACCAACTAAGACTTATCTCTTGACTGTAGCTTTGTTGTTGTTGTTATTATTGTTGTTGTTTTTAGTAGTACGGAGGATTGAATCCAGTGCCTCATGCCCAGTAGGCAAGTGCTCTACCCCTGAGCTACACCCCAGCCCATCTTCTTCCTTACTGTGTTTTTGCTTTTTCAACAAAGATTCTCAGAGGAGAACCCTATTTAACCAGCTGTAATCCTGCTTCTGCCCCACAGTGCCCCTGAAGCAGCTCTAAGAAATGTTTCTAGTAACCTCCTAATTACCATGATTTTCTTTTCTTCATTTAACTTCACTACTGGGTTTGATAACATTAACTATTAAACTCACTCCTTCTCCTTCAGCTCTGAACTTTTCTTATCCACTATTTGCATCTCAGGTATAGCTCTCTCTGGACAATTTCAGTCACTTACAGTGTGCTGCATCTTTTTACATTAGTGACTGTCATACTTCTAGCATAGTCATTTCCAAATGCAGACTGATTCTTAAAAATCTCCACCTGCATCTCCCATTTGAGTCTCAAATTCCTGTCTCCATACCCAAAGAATTCATTTATCTTTTCTTGTTTGTGTGTGTGTGTGTTTGAGTGAGGGTCTCACTATGTAGTGTAGGCTGGCCTGGAACTCACTGTGATCCTCCTGCCTCAGCTTCCCAGGTGCTGGGATCACATGGGTGCACCACCATGCCTGGCTTGTCATTATCTTTTCTTTAAAACTTGCACTCAAGGTCTGCTTATTTGACTCCTATATATCTCTCAAGACAGGTCTGCCTTCAGCTTCGCTGTCATTGCCTTAGATCTGACTCTCTCACCTGCACTATCTCCAGACGTTCACGTGTTTCCCTGCCTGGAGTCTCATGTGCATCTCCTCTGTTCTCCTCGCTGCTGTATTTAAAAAGATGTCCAACTTTTCCTCTACTGCTTGAAAATGTTCAGGCTGTATCACTGCCTAAGAGGTAAAGTTAAAGCACTGTAGCATTGCCTTTGAGGATTTCCAAGGTCAGAGCCTTGCCTCTTTCCCATCCCCATACCTCTCTATCCCCTCCTCTCCATCCTCTGCTCTGACATTTTTAGTTTTGCTCTGATAATTCTGAGCTGTGTGTTGTGCCCGTGATACCTTTGTACCTCTGAATGTGCTGCTCTTTGGTATGGATTCGCTGTGCCATATATTGCACTATGATTAAGTGTTGCTATGCTTTGTTTTTGTTGATTATTGGTTTGGCAGCACCGAATTGAACCCAGGAGTACTCTACCACTGAGCTACATACCCAGCCTCTTTTTAGTTTTAATTTTGAGACAAGGTCTCATTAAGTTGCCCCGGCTGGGCTTGAACATGTGATCCTCCTGCCTCAGCCATCCACATAGCTGTGATTATGGGTGTGTGCCACCACACTGAGATGTGGGTCAACGTGCTTTATTTCTCTCACCCGTCCTTCTAGGACTAGTTTGAGGTTGCCTTCATCTCTCTATTCTCAGCACAGTACATGGCACATGGTAAACACCCCACAGATGTCTTTAGACCTGAACTAAATGCTCGTGTTAGCCCGGGGTGCTAAGCAGAATCCTGGACTTCACGAACATCTGCCTTTCCCTGCAGCTGCAGGGTTCTGAACCAATATGACAGATTTTTCCCCAACTCCTGTTTTTTTGTTTTGTTTTTGTTTTTCTGAACCTAGGGCCGGGGATGTAGCTCAGTGGTCTAAAAGTTTATGCTTGGCTGGCGTGGTGGCACACGCCTGTAATCCCAGCACTTGGGAGGCTGAGGCAGGAGGATTGTTGCGAGTTCGAGACCAGCCTGGGGTCCAAAGTGAGCTCAAGACCAGCCTGAACTGCATAGCGAGACCCTGTCTCAAAAAGACAAAAAAAAATAAAAAATAAAAGTTTATGCTCCATGTTACCTAAATAAGACATACAAAAATTTTTTTTGTATTTTCCCTCTCTAGTTCCAATTGCCCGGGCCGTACTTGTCGACATGGAACCTAAAGTTATCAATCAAATGCTGTCAAAGGCTGCCCAGCCTGGGCGGTGGAAGTATGATCAGCATGCGCGCTTCTGTCAGAAACAGGGTTCTGGAAACAACTGGGCATATGGGTAAGAAGAATTCCTCCTGATTTTCAGTTTCATTACACTGGCATAGCCAATTAGTAAATAATGTAGGTACAGCTATGCAGTTGATAGACTAAGCATATAATCTTGAAATTGCTATTTTAAAATTTTAGAATTTGAGTTACCCAGAAAAACTCACTCTATCTCTGTGCCTTAAAATGCATGATGAGCCGGGCATGGTGGCTCAAGCCTGTTATCCCAGCACTTGGGAGGCCGAGGCAGGAGAATGGCTGTGAGTTCGAGGCCTGCCTCAGCTACAATGTCAGTTCAAGCCCAGCCTGAACTGCATAGCAAGACCCTGTCTCAAAAAAAAAAAAAAAAAAAAAAAAAATGCATGATGAAACCATGGGTATTCTGCAGCAGATGTTTTTTTTTTTTCATTCTTCACTGTCATGCCACAAACTAACTTATTATTGATACAGTGTCCTTACCTGGCAGTATCCCAGTCCTCAAGAATACTACAAGGTAGTGTTCCCATACTTTCCTGTACACTGAAATTTCCTGGGATTCTCTGGGAGGTCCTCATGCCTAGGGATCATTTCCAGAGATTCTGATTTATTGTTTTGGGGTGAAGCCCACATGTCAAGAATTTTCAAAGCGCCCTTAGGACTAATGTGCAGCAGTTTGGGAACCACTACTTTAGGGCTATTGTTATGAATATCAAGTATTATGTTTCACCATAAATTAGTAGAAACACCTTGTGGTTGAAAGCTCCAGCTAAAGGAATGGCTGATACACGAGGCATGGTCATGCACATCTACAATCCCAGCACCCTGGGAGGCTGAGCCAGGAAGAGTGCAAGTATGATCCCAGCTGGGGCCACTCAGCACCTTAACAAGATCCTGCCTCAAAATGTAAAAAATGAAAAGGGCTGGGGATATAGCTCAGTGTGAAGGCCCTGGGTTCAATCCCCAGTACCAAAAAAAGAAAAAAAGAGAATAGCCTATAAAAAAGGAACTTTCTGGATTCTATAAATTCACTCCACTCTTCTAGCAGTCCTTTTCACCTGCTAAATTTATTGAACTGCTGCATTTGAAAATTTGTCAGTCAAGGCCCCCGTACCTTTCATGAGTGTCAGCTCACGTCCATAGCTTCAGAACGCTCTCTCTAGCCCAAGTCTTTCACCTCCGCGTCACATCTCTCTGGTTACATCTGTCTGACAGGTGTTTGTGTTTGCTTCTTTCACCATTACATAGCTACTCTGTTCACGGACCCAAGCACGCGGAGTCTATCATGAACCTAATCCAGAAGGAAGTGGAGAAGTGTGACTCTTTGAGTGGTTTTTTCATCATCATGAGCATAGCTGGGGGCACAGGATCAGGACTGGGAGCCTTCCTTACGCAGCACCTGCAAGATCACTACTCAAATGCTTTGAAAATGAACCAGATTATATGGCCTTATGGAACCGGTGAGGTATGAGCACATTAATTAACAGTGTTGTTTCCTTTGCAGTTAAAGTGAATGGGAAGTGTTAAATTATATCTTAAGGAAAGATTATATAAATATGATACTTTTATGAATAATTCATCTAATTTTGCTTAAATTTTTCCAAACATCGGAGGTATCTGTCCTGTTTTTAAAAATTCCAAAGATGAGCCGGGCATGGTGGCACATGCCTATAATCCCAGCACTTGGGAGGCTGAGGCAGAAGATCCTTGTGAGTTCAAGACCAGCCTAGGCTACAAAGTGAGCTCAAGGCCAGCCTGAACTGCATACTGACACCCTTTCTCAAAAAAGACCAAAAAAAAAAAAATTTCCAAAGATGATGTGTGGTGGCACACACTTCTAATCCAAGCTGCTTGGGAGGCTGAGACAGGAAGAGGACAAGTTTGAGGTTACCTTGGGAAGTTTAGCAAAACTTTGCCAAAAAAAAAAAAAAGCTGATGGTGTAGGTCAGTGCTCCCTGGGTCCCATCCCCAGTACTAGGAAGAAAAAGAAAGGAAGGACATGGTGACTTATCCCAGTAATCCCAGCACTCAGAAGGCTGAGGCAGGAGGATCACCGTAAGCTCAAGGCCAGCATGGACTGCATAGTGAGACCCTGTGTCAAAAAAATAAAAAGGAACAGAAAAGAAAAGAGGAGAGAGAGGGAGGGAAGAAGAGGAGGGAGAGACAGGAAGACAGGAAAGGGAAGGAAGGAAGGGAAAAGAAAATATTGGCCAGGTGTGGTAACACACGCTTGTAATCCCATCCCTCGGGAGCCTGAGCTTGGCAGGCTGAGGCAAGCTCGGCACAAGTTCAAGGCCAGCCTGAACCGCATAGTGAGACCCTGTCTCAAATTAAAATCATATATGTTGAAAAAAAGGGCGACACAAATCATTCTAGGAAATGATGCAGGAAGGAAGCGTGGTTTGTCTGGAAGGCATTGTTCTAGTATCACTAATCTTACCACTCAGGGAGGCTGATGTCATTATTATCCCTGTTTTACAAATGAGGAAACTGAGGCATAGAGAGATAAAATAATTAGCCCGAAGTCATTCACCTGGGAAGTAATGGGGCCAGGATGTGAACCTAGACGGGAAGCCTTAAGAATCTCCAGTTTAAAAAACATTAATTAATTTTTTAAAAAAAGAATCTGCAGTTTTCTTTTCTCTTTTTGGTACCAGGGATTGAACCCAGGGCCTCATGCATGATAGGCAGGCACTGAGATATACCCTCTGCCCTTCATTCAGATTTTATTCTGAGACAGAATCTTCCCGAATTGCCTAGACTGAACTTAAACGTGGGGTCCTCCTTCTCGAGCCTCCTGAGTAATGGGATCACAGCCATCACGGCCAACTTAGAATGAGCGCTCCTAACCACTGGTCTCTCCTGCCTTATTTCCGGCCTTCCTGCTCCAGGTTATCGTTCAGAACTACAACTCCATCTTGACGCTGTCTCACTTGTACCGATCTTCAGATGCCCTCCTTGTCCACGAGAATGATGCTGTCCATAAGATCTGCGCAAAGCTGATGAGCACTAAGCAGATCTCCTTTCGGGATATAAATCAAGTCCTCGCACATCAGCTGGGAAGTGTGTTCCAGCCCACTCATTCTGCAGAGTGCTCATTTCACTACAGAACAAATCCACTAGGTATTGTTCTCTCCGTGTTTTTATAGGAAAATCTCATGTTCTTTTTTTTTCTGTCTCATGTTCTGACAGCTGCAAACTTACTCTTCACTGTCTCCTCCTTTCAGTTCTCCCTCATCTGAGAAGTCTCACTTCAAGCTGGTGTGGTTGGTTTTTTGTTTTGGGGACAGGATCTCGTTAGGCAATTCAGGCTGGCCTCAAACTTGTGGCGATCCTCCTCCTGCCTCACCCTCCTGAGTCCGGGTTGGCAGGTGTGTGCCACCACGTCCAGCACGCTGGTGTGGATGTGTGGCACTGCACTGTATCCCCAACCACTCTTTCCTTTTTTTTTTTTGAGGCAGTACAAAGGCCTTGTGTTCAACCCATCCCCAATACCCAATACTGTAAAAAATAAAACAAAACCTTTCTTCCTTCAGACCTGCTTATATCTCTGGCCTGTTTTACTGGAAAGTCTTGAAAAGTTGCTAAATTTCTCGAAAGAGTGGTAGAAAGAGCCTATTGACTTTCATCATTCAGGTTTTCTTCTTTCTTATTTATTTGCAGAAAAAGGGGCCATGGGCTGGGAAATAGCTCAGGGGCACAGCGCCTTGCTTGGCAAGTGCAAGGTCCTGAATTCGATTCCTGATAGCAAAATAAAAAACAAATAGGAGGCAAACACAGGGCCTTGCCTATGCTAGGCAGATGCTCTGCCACTGAGCTACATCCCTAACATCTTTTTTTGTCTTTTGGTTTTTTTTTTTCCGATACTGGGAATTGAACTCAGGACCTCGCGCTTGCCAGGCAGGCGCTGTGCCGCTGAGCTACATCCCCAGCCCCTCATCTTTTTTAATAGTCACTTTACTAGAGCTGTGCGTGGTGGCGCACGCCTGTAATCTCAGCACTCTGGAGGCTGAGCAGGATGACGGTTGCAAGTTCGAGGCCAGCCTGGGCTACAAAGTGAGTTCAAGGCCAGCCTGAACTGTACAGAGAGACCCTGTCTCAAAAAGACCAAAAAAAAAGTCACTTTACTAGAATACAATTCACATACCATGCAATTCACCCATCTCGAGTGTAGAATTCATTGTTTTTAGCGTATTTATAAGGTACACACACACACTCATCACTCCAGAAAAACCCTGTACCTGTACCTATTAGCAACCACTAATATTTTCTTTTTCCTCCAGCAACTTCGGTGCTAGTCAGCCACCAGTCTGATTTCTCTCTCTTATTTTTTCTTCCCAGTACTGGCATCTGAACTCAGGGCCTGATACTAGGCAAGCATTTTATCCCTGAGCGGTATACTATATGATAGATCACATTTTGTTTATTGATTCACCAACTGATGGACACCTTTTTGGCTACTAGGAATAAGGTTGCTGTTTACAGTGGTGTGTACATTTATGTATGGATATGTCTTCATTTCTCTGGGATATATATTTAGGAGTAGAATTGCTGGGTCATGGATGGGTATAGCACTCACCTGTAATCCTACTTGGCTCCTTGGGAGGCTAAGGCAAGAGGATCCAAAGTTTGAGGCTGGCCTGGGCAACTTAGCAACAACCCTGTCTCAAAACAAGAAAGGCTGGCGATGTAGTTCAGTGATAAGAAATAAAGTAAATGTTTGAGAAACTGCCAGACTTTTCCAAAATAGGTCTACTGTTTTGCAGTCCCAGCAAGCTACATGAGGGTTCCAGTTTCTCTACATCCTCACCTCGTTACTGTCTTTTTCACTGTAGCCACGCTAGGGGCTGGGGATTTAGCTCAGCGGCACAGTGCCTGCCTGGCAAGTGCAAGGTCGTGAGTTCGATTCCTGGTACCAGAAAAAAAACCAAAAAAAAGACATTGTAGCCACCCTAAAGGGCATGAATTTGTGATTTCAGTTTGCCTCTCCTTGGTGGCTAATAATGTTGCACATTTTTTTCAGTTGTTTTTTGGTCATTTGGGTCATTTGTATATCTTGTTTAGAGAAAAGTTCATTCAGATTCTTTGCCTTTAATCTTTTTTTTTTTTAATAAAAGAACAAAAATATATTAAACACACACATTTACAAAATAACACAAGAACAATACAAGCAACACTGAAATGCAGTCAAGGTGATAGGAAATTAACAGTGGTTGTATTACATACTGATTTCTCAGGAAAACAAATATAGACATGTAAGATTGATCAAATAATTGGTAACTGTTCCTTTCAATAAAGCTATAGGAATCAGAAGTACAAACTTCGCTTTTATTTTTTATTTTCTTTTCCAGTACTGGGGATTGAACCCAGGGCCCTGAACATGCTAGCAAGCACTATACCACGGAGCTCTGTTCCCAACCCTGCCCATTTTTAGAGGTTGTGTTCTTTTGTTATTGAGTTGTCTCCGTTCTTTATATACGCTGGATACAAGTCCCTTATCAAGTATCTGACTTGCAAAAATTTTCTTACATTCTGTGGGTTTTCTTTTCACTTTCTAGATGAGACTTTCCTCCTTTTTAATCCCTTGCTCCTGGCCTCCTTCCCATCTCCCTCCTGTCCTTTCTGCCTCTTACCTGTGGCGTCTAGTTCCCAAGTCCGGTGGACTTCTCGTAGCCTGACTGCTCCCTTGTGTGTCAGCCTGAGGACTTCACTGTCGCTCTTGTTCTCCCTCCCTATCTACTCTGTCTTGTATTTCCTGACCAATGTTACTTCCTTTTGCCTCTGAAATACACATTTCTGCAATTGTTCATTACCTCTTATTAAATGGTGCCTTATTAATTCAGATCATCTGAGTGCAATTGACTTTGTAATCTTTACCCCCATTTCTAATGTGTTTCTCAAAGAGTTGCCTGTCCCAGTTTTTGTTGTTATTTTTGAAGACAGGGTCTCACTACATAATCCAGTTGGCCTCAAACTTGTGATCCTCCTGCCTCAGCCTCCCATGTGCTGGGACTACCTGGTTAAAACTAGAATTTTTTTTTCTCCCAGTACTGGGGACATGGTTTTACTAAGTTGCCCAGGCTAGGTTGGAACTCAGTCTTCCTAACTTGGCCTCCCAGAGTGCTGGGATCATAGGCATGAACCACTACACCTGGTTAAGGACAAAAATTGTTGTCTAGTTTTTTTATCACTCTTGTCCTAGTGCCTCAAACCATGCATGGTGAATAGTAAGCACTCAGTGAAATCTTCATTGGGTGGAGAGCAAATGGATGTGGAGTTCACGGAAGTGGTAGCGGCTTTGGACATAAATGTAGGTGTTGTGTAACGTGGATGAGTGAGAAGCCAGCCTCCAGCTGGTGCTCCTTATTGTGCCCCAGGGAGAATGTGAGGAGCAGGGCTAATCCTCGCCTGGGGTTTTGCCAGAAAGAGGGCGGTGGATGGATTCTGAAGGCAGGGATATCATATAGCCAGATAAGTAAAAGGTTGAGAGAGTTTTCTCAAGGACTATTTAGTAAACACAGAATGACAAGAAAAGCATATTAGCTCTGAGACTTTCTTGGTTTTTCTGAGATTTAACTAAATGTTTGTTCACATTTCCAGGGCGTCAGCTTCTGAGTTCTCCTTTGCTCTTTGATGAAGTGGTTTTAGTTTGTTTAGTTGTTTTGTTTTGTTTTTAGCACTACTGGGGATTAAACTTGGTGCTGAACTTCATTCCCATTGCATGCCTGTAATCCCAGGACTTGGGAGGCTGAGGCAAGAGGATCTCTATGAGTTCGAGGCCAGCCTGGGCTACATAGCGAGACCCTGTCTCAAAAAAACAAAACAAAACAAAAATCTATACATATTCCCAAACCTTTTAATTTTTTATTTTCAGAGAGGGTCTCCCTAAGTGGTCCAGGTTTGCCTCAGACTTGCATTCCTCCTACCTCTGCCTCGAGAGTCTCTAGGATTCCAGGCATGTGCCACAGTGCTTGGCTTTGCCTCTTTCTCTCTTTCTTTCTCTCTCTCTTTCTTTCTCTTTCTTTTTCTTCCGTTCTTCCTTTCTTCCTTTCTTCCTTTCTTCCTTTCTCCCCCACCCTTTCCTTCTTTCTGCCCTCCAGAGTTAAGGAGCAAACCCAGGGCCTTGCTCTTGCGAGGCAAATGCTGCATCACTGAGCTATGCTACCACCACCCCTGCCCAAAAAGTGTGTTTTCTCACCCAGGCTAAAATGGGTACCAAATAAATAAATAAAATAAAATAGTGGTGCTAAGACAAAGTAAAAATGTAATCTGTGATAGACATCATCTCTAGAATTTTTTTGAAGTTTTAAGCAGTTCTGGCTTTGGAGAAAATACATTTGACCCAGAAAACCATGAAATCATGATTACTTCAGGCCAATGGCACCAGTGTGGAATAAAGACGTTTAGTTCAGATCTTTTTCTTCCTTCTTTACAGGAGACTTAATGGAGCATTTAGTTCCCCATCCTGAATTCAAGATGCTGGGTGTTCGTACCATTCCTCAGATGTCTGAGACTTCCCTGCCCTACAGCACGTTTACTTGGAATGGCCTTCTGAAGCGTTTGAGACAGATGCTCATTTCTAATGCGAAAATGGACGAAGGTAAAGGGTCCTTTAAAAACCTGCAGCCCACACGCTGGGAAGAGCGCCTGGCCGGGCTCTGCGGATAAACTGGCCGGGGCCACTTGAAACAAAGGCACCTTCTTCTGGCGCGGGGCCTCCCGCAGGGAACTGGCCGGCATGTCCCGGAGGGCTCCTTCAGCACCTCAAGCGTCAGTCCCAAAGAACATTTCAGATGAGTGCCGTATGGTTTTTCAAAGCTTTACTATATTTTAACAAAAGTACCATGTAGGCGTGGTTTTCTGTGTTGGTGTTGGTACTGGAGACAGAATCCAGGGCTTCGTTAGACAAGGGCTCTACCCGTGGGCTCCGTCCCCACCCTTTCTACTTTTAGGGACGGGGTTTCACTGAACTGCTGGGGCTGGCATCAGACTCGCAATCCGTATGCCGCAGGTTCCTGGGTAGCTGCAATTATAGGTGTGAACCGCCACACTCGCCTGTAAACATAGTTTTAAAAGCCAAGTGGTTCAGAGTCGTGTAAGGGTGAGGGCTGAGGTGTGTCAGGGCCAGGGCTCAGCGGTGGAGCTTGTGCTTTGTATCCCCAAAGCCCTGGGCTCGATCCCCAGCACCACAGAAGGTTAGAAAACAAAAGAGAGAGAAACTTAAGTGTATATTTAATTACATATATTATGTTGCACTGTGTGTAAAGTATGTGCCAATTTTTCAAAGTAAAGTCATTATCCAATATGAATTTCTAACAAAAACAGCAGTCTCCTGCCCTCCACTTCCGCCCTGCATAGGTGAGACTGCTGTCAGTGCTTCAGCTGTTGCTTCTGGAATCCGCCTCCATGGAGCTATCGCTACTTTTCTTATTTTATTTTCCAGTCTTAGAAATTATCCGTTGCCTTCCTAATGTCAAATCTAATGGCTGAGTCTTCTTCTACCCCTCCGCATACACACACCCACGTGCACACACTCAGTCACTCACGTTTGTGTGCTTCTTCTCAATTTAATTTACCATACTTCTGGGTTAGACCAGTTTTCAGCATTTTTATTACTTTCACTGTGTAAATATTATTCACAGTTGAGCCATGTACTGTGTACACAAATTACGTGGTATATCTTATTTTATGTACAACTCTTCCTCCTAGATTGTTCATATTCATACTTACTTACCTATCATTCATCTATCCCAAAACTTTTCTATAAAAA